GTCTCTGGAAGTTTTGCTGACACCTGTCCTCTTGAGGTGACTGCCAGTATTTGGAATTCCAGCATCACAGCAAACGCAGGCCACCACAGTACAACAAACAGAGATGAGGAGTCGACTCTCCCTCTAGCAAAGTTAAATGAAACACACCAGCAACACCAAGAATACGCAGCCAAACCAGTAAAACGATCAACAAGTGAGTGGAGCAGCTTAGACTCATGCACTGCTGGTGAGACTGTGCACTGGAGCAACTGCTTTGGGAAATGGTTGGGTAGTTTCTCATAAGGTTTAACATACAGGATAAAGGAGAGGATGGTTCCATTGATGAAGAACACTCTAAAGCTGTTTTAAGAAAATATTTAAAGTCTTCTTCCCAACTTTGACCAATAGAATATACACCAATTTATCAGGGGGAAAATACATTTCACAAATAGCATTTCAGCAAGAAAAAGCACTCTGACTTTTCAGGGGTTACTCGGAGCACCACTGGGGTAGAGCATTCAGAGGAGGCCCAGACATAAAGCGGAGAAATCGTAGATTCCGTTCCAGACAGAATAAAGTGAATGTTGAGTTTGTGTATGTGTGTTATTTTTTTATAAAACCAAACACCAAATCCACAGCCATCAAGTCACTTCTAACTCAGAGTGACACCATTTCCCCAGTTTACAAGAAAATGGGTGAAAATTCTATCCTCATAATAATAAGTAATATACAGCACAGAAAGCTTTTCCATTTATATAGGTGGTCTTCTCACTCCTTCATGTTTTAGCTTTCAACTTAAAACACTCTTTATATGGGGAGCTCTGGTGGCCTAGTGGCAAGGAGCTGCAACTACAATCCCAGAGGCGCACGGTTCGAATCCACCAGATGCTCTGCTGGGGAAGGAGGGACAATCTCCTCCTGTACCAGTCAGATCTGATTTGATGGTACACGCACACAAAAATTAAAAAAAAAAAAAAAGAAAGAAAAAACATCTTTGTAATCTTTTACAGAACCAGATTGTCTTATCTTTCCCTTACAGAATAGCTAACAGGTTCAAGCTACCTTCTGATTAGCACTAAGCACTTTAACCACAACACCACTCAGCACTCAGGACTTCTCTTATTATCATATTAAGTAGTAATGAAGACCAACACCTTTTTCCCAATCTTACAGTGACTACATCGAAATTTTCACCAGAAGTAGTATCATTTGCCAAAAGCTTTTTTAGTGTTTATCTTACATTCTTACATAGTGCTTTTATGTGTTTATCTTACATTCTTAATTTGCTAAGAGCTGTTTTAACAGGTACTGAAAATCATCAGATAGTTTTATAATAACCATTAAAATAATGCTATTTCTGCTTTAAGTTATTGTTTCTTGTTGCTGGCAACTAGTGGATTCAAACCATGCATCTCTGGGTTGGCAGCACAACTCCTTACTATCAGAACTGCAGAGCCCTTTCCTTCCTCCCCCAGAACGGCTACTGAAAGAATCCAGTCACAGGAAGTAGTGGCTGTGCTTTTTCTCTCTGTCAAGGATGTGAAACTACCCTACCCAACCCCCTTTCCCAGGAATAGTTATCTGAGACCCCAGCCCACTTTCCTATCTTGTAGGAAGCATCTGTGAGCATCCCCTTCCCCAAGGTCCCTGTAAGAGAATATAAAACCCCTCTCTAACTTTTAGTGGGGGCTGGTCTTCTGCTTGAGCGGCAGCCCGGCAGTTTCTCCTCAATAAACTGTCTTTCTTGGCCTGAGCTGGGCTCTGTCCTTCCTTGGTGACCTTACTCTTACCACTAAGCCACCAGAGCTCCCTGTTATCTGTTAGTGAAACAAATTATATTAACAGATTAAGAGAGGTAAGCCATTCCTAGACAAGTTCTATGGATCACAATTCTTTAAATGCATTTTTAGAGTGGATCAGTTAATGTTTCATGTAGGGCTTTCAAACCCATGTTACAAGCGAAACAGAACTTTAATTTTCTCTTCTTATATTGTCCTTACCTAGTTTTAGAATCTGTTTTGGCTAACTTCATAAAAAATTAGTTGAGGGGAGCTCTGGTGGCCTAGTGGCAAGAAGATGCACTGCAATCCCAGTGGTGCGCAGTCTGAATCCACCAGATGCTCTGCTGGAAGAGAGACAATCTCCTCCAGTACCTGTCAGATCCGATTTGATGGTGTACACACACACACACAAAAAAAAAAATAACATTTTTTTTAAAAAAATTAGTTTGGTGTTTTCTTTTTTCTATTTTCCAGACAAATGGTAAAAAAGTAGATATTTTATTACTTATATTTGATGAAACTCATATAAGACTATCTGAGTCCAGAATTTTTTTTTTTAAAGAGAGGTAGCCTTGAACTACTACACATACACCATACTTTGCAAATTTTGCTTTGGGCCACTTCACTGTTAGAGAAGGCCTGCCCTAGTACCTATTTTCCCTAATTTAAAGAAATCCAAAGAGAAGCTGTTTACAAAAAAAAGACAAAGTGAAAACTGAGACTTTACGGAGGCAGAACACACCCGAGCAGGACACCAGGACACGGGTGTCCCTCCTTGTAGGCCATTATGCTGCCACTACTTCGAATTTTATCTACGAACATGATCTCCAAGCCATTGCCTCTGAGTCAATTCTAACTCACAGAAACCCCTTAGGGCAGGGTATAAATGCACTGTAGTTTCCAAGGATGTAAATCTTTATGGAAGGAGACTGTCCCATCATTCCCCCACAGAAAACCTGGTGGGTTCAAGCCACTAACCCACACCACCACCAGAGGTGCTTGTGAACACAATGTGCTTCTTTACACATGAGGTGCTGTTTGGGAAGTTCATTTGGAGGTTTGGAAATGCTCAAAAGTTTTCCTCACAAATGGTTAACCTCACCTTACACTACCTATTTCAGCTTACGAAAATTTTCACAGGAACTGTTTCCAGATACTGGGTAGAACCTGTATTCCAGATTATTTTTTTTTATTCCAGATTATTAAACATTCACTGTGACTGTTGCTCTGTACCATCAAGTCCAAAGTGACTCACAGCTGGTTTTCAGAGGCTGTAAATCACAAAGGAGGAGACTGTTCATCTCACGTGAACTGTCATACCAAAGACACATGGTTCGAATCCACCAGCTGCTCTGTGGAAGAAGGATGAGCAATCTCCTCTTCTGCTATTTACCCTCTGATAATGGTACACAACCACCACCACATACAGAAGCAGTGCAACCAACCGCATAAGCAGCACAACTCCTTAGTACTTAGCCAAACTATCTAGTTCTTCGTGTAGAGATTTTCAGTTTTTACTTCCCTAAGAATTTATACCTTTTACCTTGCCTTTCAAATTAATTATTTACTGTGTTTCCCAATATCTTTTTATTTAAAAAAAAAAATCAAACCACCTCACGCTTACAGCTATTTCCTGCTTTGCATTTTTTTTTTAGAGGCATATCTCCTTTTATTGCACTTTGCTTTATTGTGCTTCCAAGGTTACCTTAAAAAAAAAAAGCACAATACTGACATTTTTGCAAGTCTTGTCTGTGTTTTTCCCCTCACTTCACGATTGTAATTGGTCACCACAGTATCTCTAACTTTTCCATAACACCACTGTACACTTCCTGACTACAGGATAGGATAGACATGACCTTTATACACACTGGGAAACCCCAAAAAAATCATGCAACTCACTTTATTGTGGTTGGGAACCAAACTGGCAGGCTCTCCAAGGGAGGTTTATACTTTAGTCTCATCTTTTTCTTGCTCATTTTATCAGTTCTCTCTAGTTTAGAAGTACTTTTCAAAAACTATCTTTTCACCTGGCAAATCTTTTTTTTTCTTGATTTCACTATTTTTATATTTTTAAAAAACTCTTCAAGGGAACCTTAAGCACTAATGCAAATCCTTTCAGTATTTAGTTAAGACATGCCGCCACTCTGACCAAGGCCTGATTTCACAACACAGGCTCAAGACAAACGCTACAACATAAATGCCATTGTCACATATGTGAAACAGGGGAAAAGTCACATACGAACTTAACGAACCATGCCTATATGGTATATGGATGTCTTTCACAAGCGTTATTATCTTGAAGACACATAGATAAACATTAAAGTATGTTTAAAGCTTTTTTTTAAAAAAATCATGGTTAAGGTTGTGCCTTTGTATGTGAGAAAATCTAACTGTATTCTCCCTACAGCTAATTGGGCTTAGTGCAGCTTGATAAAATTAGTAACTAGAAATGAAATCTCAGGTTGCTTTACATGATGCCACTCAAAACTAACTTGCTGTTAATAAAAGGAAAGAAAACACTGGCTGTGATTTTTCAGTCTCTGTCTCTGTCTCTGTCTCTCTCTCTCTCTCTCTCACACACACACACACACACACCCTCTCTCAAGCAAAAAAAGAAAAAGAAAAATCACTGCGAGCAAAGGACAAACACATCCTGGTTGGGGACAGTTTCAAATCCAAAAACTGACTGCCTGCACGCAAATCAGTAATAAAGTTTCAACATTCACCAGAATCTTTGGTTGGGACAGGCGCTGACTGGCTTCTGAGTGGAGCTTCTGAAAAGTAACTTTACACATGATCAGCTTCAAAAAGGATGTCGCAGTCCCTTGAGTGACACTCAAGAAGCAACTCAAGAGATGCAGACGATGGGCGGTGGACTTCCTAACTGCTGAGATGTTAACAAACAAGGGGAACACAAGCTGCCAGCTTTCTCTTCCCTCTACGCCTGCAAGTGGACGGCCTCTCCCTAAATAATCTCAAGCAGCCTTACTTCCCCCTCACCTTGGAGGGTGGAACTTTAAAGGCGGACGCAGGGGAAAGCGCCTCCTAATGTCCAGCTGGCCCGCTGTGACCAGGGGCAGTGCGTACCTCGGCTGCTTCCCAGGTAATACAGGGAGTCAGGGCCAGCGGTGGGAGAGGCGGGGAGGGAGGGGACCAGGCCTGAAACAAAGGCAGCGGGCAGCTCCGGGAGGGGTGGACAGGAGGAAAGTCAAGGCCGCGGGGGTGAAAGGCTGGACTCACAGAACTTAGAAGTGGAGGTGTTGATGTTGATGGTGGAGCTGGGGGTGGGGGCGGGGGCCGCCTTGGCCACAGCGCCGGCCCCGTCGCAGCTCTTCAACATCATGATCACCCCATTGGTCTCCGGCGGCGGCGGCGGCCCCATCGACAGTCCTTCCTTGTGGCCTTTCCGCTCTCCGGCCGCGGCGGGCACCGCCAGCAGCTGCCCTCCCGGGGGCTCTCGGACAGGCGCCGGGATGGTCGGCGGGGGCGGCCGGAAGCTGTGCACCGCGGCCTCCCAGTTGTTGTGGTTCTGATCGTCCATCATCGCCTCGTAGCTGCTCTCCTCCTCTTCCATGCTCTCTTCCATCCTGCTGGCCCCTGCGGCCCCCGCCCGCCTCGCAGACACCTGCCGCCCGTCTCAGCCCGGGCCAGGCGGCACTGCAGCCTCCTCGTGCTCACATCGCCGGGGACCAGCACGGACGCAGCGGGCAGGGCAGCGGCGCCGGACCCCGCACTCTCCGCCGGGCGAACTCCCGGCTGGACAGGGCTGACGGCGGTGGGCGCTCCCGGGCTCGCGTCGGAGACAGGCAGCCGTAAAGCAGCGGCGCTCCTCACGACATTTCACAGCCCTTCCCAACAGGCAGTTGCAAAAGGCCTCCGGGGGTGCGGCCGGCGGGGCACGTGGTGCATGGAAGGAGCTGGGCGAAAGCAAAGTGCAGGGGCACCGGAGCTATGAGTCACCGCCGCCCCATAGGGCAGAGGCTCACCCCGCCTCGAACAGCGCTGTGAGGGGCGGGGTGCAGAGCGGGGCCGGCGTCACGTGATCGGGAACGGGTCTGCGCATGCGCGGCCTGGCTCCAGTTACCAGGACGACAAGGAACCCAGCCCGACTTGGAAGGCGTCCCCGAAGCCCGGCGGTCAGCGTCCAGCACAGATCAGCCTTTCAGGACTGTTTTTCTCTCTTCCAACTTAATCCTCCTTGGCAGCTTCGGCCTTTGCATGAGCACAGAGAGTATAGATTGCAGATTATAAACAAGTCAGAGGCCTTTGCTCTGACTGCTCCTGATCGCAGTCAAAGCGGAGAAATAAAGCCGACGTTGAGCAGAGTGTCGAAAATACAAATGCAGTTGAGTTGTAAGCGGGTCGAGTTTGTTTCGTTGTGTTGTTGTTGTTGTTGTTGTTTCACAGTCTCTTAATGCTATTCCCCTAGACCAACAACCCAGCTTTTAAAAAGCCTGACTTCCTGTTCTGAGTCACAAATTGACCACACAGATTATGGGTGAGAGTCTTGGGACCAATGAAATATTAAGTGCTGTCAAGGGAGCTCTGACTCACAGCGATCGGTGTAGACAAAGCTAAACCGTGGATCTGTTTGAGATTCATTGTTTCAGGCACTGAGAGTCTTCCACTTTTCCACTGACCTACTTTAGCAAACAGGATTTCTTTTTGGGGGGAGTGAAAGCTTGTCTAAAGTATGTGAAGTCTCGCCGTCCTTGCTTCCAAACAGCATTCTGGCTAATTCCATGGTATTTTCTGTGTTCCTCATCAAACACCACCCTTCACAAACACCAATTCTTCAGTCTTAATTCACTCTGCAGCTTTCACAGGTAGGGGAGAAGATGGAAAACACTAGAAGTAGGTGCACACCTTAAGTCCTCAAAATGACATCTTTTAAATAATTTTGTCTTTTGAAGCAGATGTATCCAATATAATACTTCGGTTTCTTGACTGCTATTTCTTTGGATGCTGATCATGGGTTCAAGTAAAATAAAATTCTTAAAAACTTAAGTGTTTCCGATGTTTTCATCCTGATGTTGCTTTTTGATCTAATTGTGAGTACTTTTGTTTTCTTGATGCTGTAATAAATAAAAACCATGCTACAGAAGTAAGTTGTGCCTGTACTATTATTTCTCAGTAAATTTACATTCTCCAACTTTAGCCATTATTGTGTATCACAGAGTCGGAATCGACCCGTAGCTGACGCTCTGGCAGTTTTTCAGAGGCAGTAGGTTACAGGAAGAGATCACCCATCCTTCTCCTTAGCAGCTGGTGGATTCAAACCTAAGGCCTTTGGGATTGCAGTGCAGCTTCTTACCACTAGACCACCACAGCTCCCTAACTTTCGCAACAGTTGTAGTATCTTATGTAAGAAATCTACATTATAATTATTCAATGTGGAGTTCAAGCTAGAAGAACTATTTAAACCAAGGAATAATAAGTCTTTATTTCCATAAGCTAAGGAATTAGTTGTTTGGAAAAGTGGAGTTTCAGCAAAAGACTCTTCAATTAGATGAATTGACACAGTGACCGCAGCAATTGGCTTGATCACAGCAGAGATTGTGAGAATGGCACAAAATAGGACATGGTTTCAAACTGTTATCATTCTCCGGGTCTACAAACTCGTCTGCCTCTACTAATAACAGGTAATTAGTGTCTCAAAACTCCCTAAAGCCACTGAGAAAGTGTTGCCTCTAATGTACTTACATATTCACATTTGCTTCAGCTTCTCAACTTTTATTTCCTCGGCATGAATTTATACTTCAACATAAAACAAAAATCCTCACAACTGAGCCAGCAGGCAACATCTTGATAAATGGAGAAAAAACAAACTTTCAATTATTTCATTTTACTTGAACACTCATGCAAGCAGCAATCAAGAAACAACTTTATTTAAAAAAAGAAAACAACTTTATTTAACACGTTGCCGCACACTTTTAAACTGACCACCGTGTTTAGAAACACATTTGCCGTCATTTGCAGCAACCTGTTAAACAAATTTAATTGGGTAACTATTCCACAAAGGATCTTTTTAAAAAATGGTAAAAAAGCAAAGATGTCATCTTAAGGACAAAGGAATACGTGATGTTTTCAGTTGCTCTATATGCGTATAACATCTGGACAGTGAATAAGGAAAACTGAAGGAGAATTTGTGCTTTTGAATACAATGTTGTCAGAAACTATTGAATGTATCATGGGCTGTCAGAATAATGAACAAATCTCTTAGACAAAGTATAGCCAGAATACTCTTTAGAAGGCAGATTATTAAACTTATCATTTTGGACATTTTATATAAGAGGGGCTGGGTTTCTGGAGGACAAAGATTCTTACCACTAGATGGATTGTCTCAAGAATATTGAGTTTCCTTAAAGCAGAATAAAAATACTTCTTTATAAATATGTTTTAAGCTTGTAAAGAAAGATCCCTGGATACAAACAGTTTGCATTTAACTATTAATCTCAAAGTGGATGCGTTAGACAAACCCCTGCAGAACCAAGGAAGAAAAGCCTGGCACTCTGCATCCTTAAAGACCACAGCCCAAAACAGTCCCCTGGAGCAGTGCTGCTTTGTACCACACATAGTTTCTCTGACTCAACATTATCTCATGGAGATGACTGCATTTTGATTTATTTTTTCATAAGTGAAACTGTCAAGTTGGAACCACTGATAACTGACCCATCAGCAGGTTTTCGGAGACCATAAACTGCGCACGAGGAGACTGCCCATCTTTTTCCTGCAGAGCAGCCGGTGGATTAGAACCATGTGCCTCCGGTTTAGCAGCACAACTTCCCACCCCTTTGGCTAGTAGAGCTCCCCACAAGACGTTCTGTGGATCAGAAGTGATTTAATGCAATGACTTCAGGTTTTGTCTGGAGTTTTTGTAAAGAGAAGACTAATTCAATGCATTAATAATAGTAATCAGTGTCTTGAGTAGGGTTCTCTAAAGAAGCAAAAGCATGTATATATATATATACACACACACACATATATAAATGGGGGGGGCGGGGAGAGAGCAAGCAAGCGAGAGCACGAGAGCTTTGTGCCTTAGTAGTAAGGAGTTGCACTACCAGCCCAAAAGTACATGGTTCAAATCTACCAGTTGTTCTGTGGGGGAGAAATGGACAGTCTTCCTTGTGACTTATTGCCTCTGAAAATCTGCCCAAGGGCCGGCTATGGGTTGGTTCCAACTCAATGGTACACAACAGCAACAAAAACAAATAGAGAAAGAGAGATTATCTCAAGGAAATGACTCATGCACTTGCAGAGGCTAGTAAGGCTGGGGGCTAGGGGTTGAGACCTCAGGAGAGAGGTGTTAGTGAAGGCTGACAAGTCCAAGGTCAGCAAGCAGGGTAACAGACTGCTGGCTTTGGAGTCTTCTGAACCTAAGATTGGCACATAAGACAGATGACAAGTATAAGTCTGGAGGTGGCAAGCCAAATGCAAGATCCAAATCAGACAAAAAGCTAAGTTTGCCAGAGAGTATATACTTGTTATTCCCTGTGAACATACTGCTCCAGTCATTTTTAATCTTTGGCAGAATTTTATTTGCATGTGATATTAATGATACTGCTTAACAATTTCTGCATTCTCTTATATCACCTTTTTAAAAATGGACCATTATATCACCTTTTTAAAAATGGACAAATATGAACAAATAGAGAAATCAGACTATATGAAGGGGATTATGACATCTTGATTGGAGGAGGAGGCATCAACAACCTGTGTTACAAAGATGACAGTCTTGCTTGCTGAAGTGACGCCAACTTGAAGCATTTGCTGATAAAGACTAAAGACTGCAGGCTGCAGTATGAATTACAAGTCAAAAAGCCTCACAATGAGACCAATAAACAACATAATATTGTTAAGTGCCATCAAGTTGAGTACAAGTCATAGTGATCCTATGAACAGTGGATCTGAACCCTGCCCTATCCTGTGCCATCCTCAGCATATCTGCTTTATTTGAGCTCATTGCTATAGTCACCATGTCAATCCATCTTGTTGAGGGTCTCTCTTTCACTGACCTTCACCTTTCCAAGCTTGATATCTTTCTCCAAGTACCAGCCCCTCCTAACAACATGCCCAAAGCATGCAAAATAAAGTTGTACCATCACTGCCTGTAAGGAACACTCTGGTTGCACTTTCTCCAAAACATAGTTGTTTATTGTTTTGACAGTCCATGCACTATTTAATAGTCATCCCAACAATAAAACTCAAGCAATAATAACTGTAGAAGATTTTTAATGATTTCTTTTACGTGGGTCCACAATGCCCATGGGAAAAACAACAGCATATTAGTCACTGATCTTCATGCATGAGTATTTCAAGTCCTCTTAGCTTTTAGCAAGCAAGGTTACACCTGCATACTTCAGTTTCTTATGAGCCTTCCTCCCACCTGATGCTATGGTCTTCATATACTCCAGCTTCTCAGATTATGTGCTCAACATACAGATTGAGAAAATACGGTGAAATGATGCAACCCAGATGCACAGTTTTCCTGCTTTTAAACCATCTCATATATGTGACATGCTGGAGGCCCAAATTCAGCAGTGGCATTTTCACCTTCCATTCAGGAGATCAGAGATCGATTCCCAGCCGGAGCCTCTCACGAGCAGCCAGCTGCCTTCATCAGTAGAGGCTTGCATGTTGCTATGATGCCAAACAGGTTTGAGCAGAGCTACCAATTAAGACAAATGAACAAAAATGGTGTATCTCTATACTTTAGAAAATTGGTCGGTATAAACTTCCTGGATCACCACTACTTAATGTGCAGTCAATGACGGGAAGGCAGCGTGTAACCAGGCAGCAGTTTCTTCCGCTGCTCATGAGGTCTCGGTGAGATGGGGCAGCTAAAACCAG